GGAACACTGGACACTTGCATTTCAGATGTTCTTTCTCTTTTCTGCCTTTTTTCAACTTGCACCACAGGCTCTGACACATTTTTGTCACCTTCACTAAAACCTATCCAATGAGGACTGCTTCTGTGTTTTCAGAATTCCTCAAAAATGTGAAATTGCTTGGTCATTGAGTAAATTCACATCTCTGTTTGCCAGAGCTGTGTCCAGATGGTACTTCTCCACCAAGTTTTGAACTTCTACCCAGTTTGCACACATTTCTTTTATCAAGGAACATGGAGACATCACTCCTTATCTCCTCCTCATCTGAAGAAATATCTTTAGCCTCCTCTTGTTGATGCTCCTTCTGTAGTTCCAGCAGCTCCTCAGGGCTCAACTCTTCATGATGTTCTTCCATTAACTCCTGAACATCAGCAGCATTGACCTCCAAACCCATGGATTAGCCCAAAGATACAATACCCTGCACAATTGTCAAGCTCAAATCCTTAGAAGTCTCTCTGAGTCACAGCTTCTGATCACAAATTCTTCCATGAATTTGTGATCATGGAATTCATTGTCCTATAAAAGACTTCATTTCAGGCCTTATCAGTAAGATTAAGGCAGTGCAGGATATTGAAATGATCCTTCCAGAATTCTTTGAATGTCAACTAGATGCCAGAGATGGTCTCTGGAAAAGTGCCTTAGTGTACAATTTGGTACACAACTTTTTGAAGTTTGAAATGACCTGCTATCCACGGGCTGGATGAGACTAGTGTGTGGGGGGGGATTTAGAAACCTTACAGTGATGCAGTGGTACAGAACTCCTCCAGTAAATCATCCTCCAAGCCTTGAGGGTAGCAAGGTACATTGTCCATTATTAGGAAAGCTTTCAGAGGCAAACCTTTCTCCAGCAAATATGTTTTCACTGAGGGACCAAACACTTCATTTATCCATTTGGTAAAAAAAATGCCTCAAACTTTGCTGTTTGCCCTCCACATCACATCTGCATTTGATATTTATGACATGATGCTTCTTGAAAATTCACACGTTTTCACTATGATAGAATACTAGAGGCTTGGTTTTTAAATCCCCAGTAGCATTCCCACACAACAATAGACGAAGCCTGTTCTTCATTGGTTTGTGACCTGACAATAACTTCTCTTCTTTTGTGATGTAGACTCTACTTAGCCTTGTTTTTCCCAAAAAAGATTCGGTCTCCTCACAGTTAAGAACTTGGTGGGGAATAAAACCCTATGAAGCCATGAATTTCACAGTCAGATTCATCAGCAGCCTTTTTGTTAGCACTCACTGCCTCGCCATGCCTCACAACACTATGGATATCAGTCCTCTTTTTAAAATGATCAAACCAGCTATGACTGACCTTAAAAAAACTTCAACACTCTCACCACTTGGTCCCAGTTTGTTTTTCAAGAGATTAGCATGCAGCCGTTTTGCTTTTTTATATATCATGCCTTCCAACACACTGTTGCCCTCTAACTGTTCCTTGTTTGCCCAAATTAATAAAAGCTTTCCAACTTCCTTAAGTGTTTGGGAATGCTGCTTTGTTACTTTCACTTCTTTCGCAACATCGGCCTTTTTAATTGCTTCGTTATTCTTAATGGTGGTGGTGGTGGAGAACGTTGTTCTAGGCATACCGTATTCCCTAGCAAGGTCAGTAATCCAAATACCACTCCATATTTTCCTTTTCCATCTTTTGATCAATAGAGGTGCAGTAATTTTCTGCTCAGCGCTACCACTGTTCATTTTCTTAGGACCCACGATTAGAAAAAAAGCATTTAAAAATACACAAAATGACCACATAAACTAGGATAAAACTTCAAGGAGATGTGTATAGGGCAAGAGCTATCGCATGAACCATGTGTAGCCCTTTGTTTTGGCTGGAAAGGGTAGCAAGTCACAAGGCAGCCAACATCAACAAGCTCTAGATTGAATGTCAAGCACCAAACAAATGAAAGCACCAGGATACAATTTTCACATCAAATACTAAATTTGACAACTTTCAAAGCAGTCAAGTACCAAGTACCATTGTACGGGCATAATGAGCACTCTTGTTGAGATTCCATTTGAATTAAATGGACCTGAGTCAAAAGAATTTGTCTTCAGTTTCTTGTTGAGGGAGAGAGAATAAATTTGGAAAACAAAATTATTAATTAAAATTATGTTTGTCAAAAACAATTTTTAACAAAAACATTCCATCAAATAAAATTCTTTGCAAATCTAGTAACAACTAGGCTGTGGGAGAGTTTGTTAAGTTGGAAATTAGATTGCAATTAACAACTTGCATGTAAGTTAAATCTTTTTTGTCCAGTGGAAATGCATTTTTCTTTAAACAAATTACATGGATTCACCATATATAACTAAAGATACCAAGTTTGCATTTTGATTGATCACAAGATGGTTATATTTCAACAATGGTTATATTCTATACCCAAAATACTGCTAATACATTATCATTTATATTCACTACAAAACTAATTATAAACGACTGATTAACAAATAAAAATATAGCCACTAAAACTACTAGAAAATAATTTGGATTTCTTATCCTTTATTTAGTAATTATGTTCATTAGTTTATTTCTTTCTCAAATCTTCATGGGACAAGTAAAATGAAAGCAATATCACATTCACAATTCCCATAAGGAACATAAATAGTAGGCTGTTGAAAGAAAAACCATATATGTAGCATCTTTCCATATGATTGGAAATTTCAACCCATACTTTGACAAGCAAGACTTTGTTCAAATTTTCGCTTGATATAGGTCTGTCAGGATAAATTGTTACAAATCTGTTGCTTGTGTGTTTAGCATTCATATGAATTTCATCTTACTAGGGTACACTTCATATATTAAATTAAAAGAATTATAATCACAGTGCTGAATTCTTCACTTAGAATCTACCTGTCAATTGGGAAGTTATGCTTACTGTAATTAAATATATAATATGTATTATTATGCTTATTTAATTATATATTGCATTCAATGAGAACAGCATTTTGCAAAATATATAGATCAAATGAACATTATAGGAAAAAATGAAAAAGAAAATTCTTAATTATATATATTGAGGTTTAGAAAATGCAAAACTAGAGAGCTGTTCTTGAAATATTTTAAAGATTTTGAGAGTGATGGAAAGGTGGGGGAGAGAAGTATTAGAGTTTTGATGACCCCAACTATAAGATCAGTCAACAAATATAAATCAAAGTCATGGAAAGTTTTTAAAGTACATACAAGTTGTTTGTATAGGATTCATAGCTGTCTGAATGATTACAGAAATGAACCTTTTAAAGTGAAGTGCAAGACAGATAAAAAGAGACCAAGAAACTTATCATCTCTTAACCAGCAGGCATTTTAACCTTGGTAATACTATATTACACCAGCTAGTTCAAGGTTTATTTTTAGTCACTAAAAAGAATTCTTATCCAAGCAAACAGATAACTTTAACAGTTTCTGTTTTGCTAACATCACAGTTAAAAATAGCATTAAGAAGGTCAGTTGATTTCAATGGAATTGTTAGTAGACTAGTTGGAAACATCAAATACTTTTAAAAAAAACAGAATTAAGATTCAAAAGATATGCATGGATATATTTGTATATAGCTCTGATTTAATATTCATGTTCCTATCAGTTCATAAATAACATATCTCTTCTGATAGCAGTATTATATCCCAGACTAATCCCAGAAATATGATCTTCCTCAGTTATATACATTATATATTATGAATGCTACATAGATATATATACCTAAACCATGGCCTAAATTTTTCAATATTACTATAATTTGCATAGATAAAACTTAGGGTTGAAATTTAAATTCTAATTATCACGTGGACTGCAATAACTTAATTTAAAATATAAATATTAAAAATTTTCAAGAAAATTGTATATAATAAAGGTACAATGTTTTGTCTCTACCCCAAATTATGCAACAAACCATTTCAATGCTTGGATAACTTTCATAAATTAATAGAAATGTCTGACAAAGTTATATTTTCCTCTTTTATCTTCTTCAGGTATTATTCTGCTAGTACTGAAACAATAATAATGTATGTGCCAAAATATTTAAGAGGTGAATATAACCAATACATAAAGATAAGAAGTCTAAACCATGCCATCATGTTCGAACCTCCAAAATTGAAAGACACTTTTAGAACTTTAGAAACTATAACATATAATGTATGTCCTGCTTTAAAAATTATTCCTGTTCAGCTCTTTTAAGTATACAGCTATGTATTCTACTTTGCAATTTCTGTTACAATCACTGTATTTTTTAAAAAAATTGGTTTCTTACTTTCTCCTCAAGGGATAGTCATTTATTTTTTTTAATAATAAACTTTATTGAATATACAACTAAATTAAACGAACAAACACATACACAACAAAGAAATAAATAGAGAAAACAATTTTAAAAAACCAAATAAAAGGCAATTTCATTATCGACAGTTTGTGGTTCCAAGGGATAGTCATTTATAAATGTCACCCAAGACAAAAACATTGTCGGTCAGAGCTTTTCAACTTGATAAATGTTGACAAAGAATGATCCAGTGATGATGTATAAAGTTTTAGATGTATATAAACTTTATAGGCAACTAAAATGGTCTGAAATTTCAATTGTATGGTAAAATCAATCATGTATATTTGTTTATCTAAAAGTTAAACATATTTAATATTTATAGTTTAGTATATTTATTTATTCGAAAGTTAAATCGTGTTGCTTTCAATGGGTTCTATATGAATGCAAGGAGCACCTTGTATTTCCATCAGCCAAATTAAAGGCCAGGTACAATTCACTTTATCGATGAAAATTTGAAAATCAACATTGGTTATTTAGTGTATAGTTTTATACCTGCTAACTAATTAGTATATAAAGCTGTATTCAGTGGCACTTACTCCCCAAGAATTCAGCCTCAATTTAAAAGATGTTGTTTTAGAGTTATCACTTAAACATACCCTTGGGTATGTCTCAATGTTAGAGGAAAACTAAATCTACACACAGTAGCTTACTTACGTCTGGGGCTCCTTCTCATTTTGTTGTTTTTGCTGTGGCTGAAGAACGTTATTTACCAGCTCAGTGAACCCACTAAAGGGAAACCACCTGTTCAAATAAGCAAATAATGTGACTGAATAACCAAATGAAATCATAGTATAATTTTTTTTTCTATAATCATCATCATCATCATCATCATGTAAATGCAGGAAAGCTACAGCCAATGAAAATGTTCACTGCAATTAAGTCAGCCACAATTAGGATTTAGGGGAGAATAGTTTTAAACCAGAATCATCCGCAAGCAGGTAGCAAGAAACCACATCCAACTGAAATGTGGATGAAATAACACACTGAAAGCAGCTTTTACAAGCCAATCCGAAAGCAGATAACTAACTGCAGCCTATCTGGTATTCGTTTAAAACCATCAAAGGTGCAGAAAGCAGAAAATGGCAAAGATAGAGAAGTAAAGCCCACTGCACTTGTGTTTTTGTTTTTTTACTTACTGTGTCACTGGTTGTTTTTGTTCTTCTTTACCCCTAAAAAAATAAGTGCACAACTGAGTGCAGTGTATATAGGACATAAACCCTTTTCTATATCTGTCATATCTGAGTGGCATCAGAAAAATATTTTTATTTAACTACACCTTGCATCCAAATCAGTTTTCCATTAAACAAAAATATAAATGCACTATCATAAAACATAAAATGAACAATGTCTCCAGGAAATAATAATAACCCTAACACTGGAATCTTACGACATATAATTAGCCATACAATCTCCAATTTAAATTTGTAGTTTGAGTGACTAAAAGCATATAAAAAGCAATTCACTATATACAGTAGTAAACTAAATAAAACAATAAACTTCAAAAATACTGTTGTTGATATTGGCAGCTGAATTTCAGCTCATGGATTAATCACTATGTTCAAAATTAGTTCATACTTATCAACTATTGTATTTGTGATGAAACAATTATTTGTTTATAGCCTGCCCCACAAGATTCAGTTTTAAATCCGTAAGATTCAGATGCTCCAATCCTTCCATAAGGCTTTGAAGATCTGGCTTTTCTCTGAGCATGGAAGCAGAATGCTGGATGAACCTATCTGTAACAACTAGAATACTAAATGATTGTAGATTGGCCTCAGTTTATAGCGTGTTCTCCTCTATGCTATCTTTACCTGTTTCGTTTTGGTTTTCATTGTATATTAGCTGCCAGAATCACAATTGGTAAGTTGGAAAGCCATACAAAGCAAATAAGTGAATAGTTCAATGAGGCTCTCATTAAAATAGCAAAAGCCAAAACAAGTTTCAAAATATGACAAACTGCCAGGCGATAGGTTTATGAATTTCACGGGTTCTGACTATGTCTGAGATTTTTCTAGCAGTTATGCTCTTGATTATACCTTGACCTCTGGGATTTGAAATCTCCTTGTTATCTATGCATCAGTTGGACATGTTGTTTGTTTCCTCTTTGTACAAGTGGTTGGAAATAACTTTTGTCTCCTGTTTGACTGCTACTAAACATGCCTCTTCTTGGCAATTCCTTGGCTAATTGGATGGATCTCCTGCTTTACAGATATATTATAGTAAATGCTCTTCGGGGTTCATTTGCTTCAAGATTTCACCTCACTGCATGTTATCAAAGAATGAATTGTTGCACATGGTTCCTCTGCATAACTTGGGTTTCCCCTTGGTGTATCCTTTACTCTTCTCATTGCATTTAACCATTATGTGCTCCATTACTCAGCTATGAGCATTTCTTATTACACAGGCTCTGTAGCCAAAAAGATGGCTTTAATGACCTATGTTATGATTCATGGCATTTCATTATTCATATAGTCTTTTCCTTGGCTTCCGTTAGTAGCCAACTTTGTAGATAGCCAAGTACCATAACTGCCTCTCCCTAGAACTTGTTGGATAGATTACCATCTTTCAGAAATACTTCTTTTCATATTCTGTCAGACAATCATTCTTTCTGGCAATCCATTTTGCTCTAGAATATAGGTTACATAATCTGGTGTTTCATGTTCTATTACTTCCAGTGTCTCCGTGTTCATATATTCTACTCCACTGTCATTTCAGAAGATAATTAACTGGCATTAGACTATATTGCTTACCATCATTGTGTATTCTTTGAGTATTCTTTGACTCTCATTTTGCATGTTTTTGCATTTTATGGCTATGTATTTCTGTATTGTGTGGTAATCAGTGAAGATGATAAAAAATCAGTTGCCTGAAAATCACTTTTCTTACCATTCCATATAGTCACTATGAATTACATCCAAGGGGTGACTTGATCAACTGCTGATGATGTTGGGCAGTGACATGTGAGTTGTACTTGTCATTCATGTACCATAATGATATAGTCCTATGTCTGTTCCATTGACATAGTCCTATGTCTGTTCCATTGTTTTGACTTGCAAATTACTTTATGGCTTTAGAGATCCCAATTCTGAGTCATCTGTGCCACAGGCAAATGCAGTTCTAGTGAAGAGGGTGAGTTACCACTCTGCCTTCACCTCTAAGGGCTACATATAGGATAACTTGCAACTGCCCCAACAATAATGTTCACTTCATTAGAAACTGTACATGTTTCCATTGCAGTGTGCAATCTTGGTCGAGCATTTCATAGAAAGTAGACATCCATCTATTACTTATACATACAGACATCTTTTGTTGGCATCTTGCATTTCACATTGGTGGTGAAACATTTTACAACTCCATTTCCAATTCCTTGCACTGTTAGGCCCTTCTCATATGCTAGGTAAACTTTTTCATCTCATTCTATTAAAAGTTCTTTGTTGGTATATGTTTATTGGCTCCAGAATGTATCCTCCATCGGAATCCATTGTTTTCTTCGACTGCTTTATAGCATTCACTCTGTGATTCCAATTGCTTCACTTGCTGTAGTATTTCCTGCTACTTTCTCTTTGGTGGCTCCCATCTTATTTTGTTCAGTCTTCCAAATAAGGTAGTTTTTCTTTAGGCATACTGCTTTTTGGCAGCAAAATAATATAGGGAGCTCTCTCCCTTCTTCTCTCTGTCTCCCAACCATAAATACAGTTTACTTGCCTTCATTCTTCCTCTGTAGTGATAGATAGATAGATAGATAGATAGATAGATAGATAGATAGATAGATAGATAGA